CATGCGCAGCCGCAGGAGGCTATGAAGCTAATAAGTAAGTCAGACCGAGTCGTGCTAGTACTGTGCCCCAGTCCGTAGTCGATGCGGAATCCTGTACCCAATAAATATAGTACAAAGCCTATGCAAGGCTATGAAGCACAGTCCGAGGCTATGAGAAACGAGGTAGTCCGTAGTCGAGAATACGAAAGGAGTCGAGACACGTCTACAGGTCCATGGAATGTTCATCAGCCGGCCATATGAGTGGATGATGTGTATGTAGTTAAATAAAAAGAAACTGAGACTGCACATCCGCGTCTCCTGCGGTATCAGACCTGTCGAGCATACAAGAAGACGAAAAATATAGTCCATAACATTACCCCCCTTCTACGTCAGTCGCGCCTCGAGACTCTTGTACGGAGAATTGAATTCGGGGGCCATGGAAGTGGGAAAGGTAGGTGGAGATGGGGAACGGTTGTTGATGAGGGGATGCTGGTGGAGATAGGCCATGGGTTGGAGTGGGTGTTCCTGCGGTTGATAAGCGTCGTCGGCGTTGACCCATGCGAGATAGGCATTGCGGTAGGGATTAGGGTAGACAACAGGGTGAAGGATGGGGGCGTCGAATTCCATACGGCAAAGGAGTTCGTTGATTGGTTGGGGAAGGTATCGGGTGGGCTTGGTCGAGATGCTGTTCCAGAATTTGATAGTCCGACTGTAGGAAAGACGTGGGGGAAGATGACAGATTCTGCGCGTAAACCGATAAGGGTACCTGCAATGCTCCGTCGATCCCAGTCGAGAGCTCCCAAGCTTCGTTCGCATCTGGCTTCCTCCATCTCCAATCGTCCCAATTCCTTTCTTCGTTCTCTAATTGCCTCTGTAACCTCGATGTATTTGCGAGCAAAACGTTGGACTCTCTCATTTCCACAGGCGTTGATGGCTGCGCTAGCCTGGGCATGGGTAGCTGGGTTTGTGAGCCAGTCGTGGAACAGTCCAGGGAGGTTCGGAAGGGTGGAAGAGGCGTTAGATTCAGGGGTGGAATTGGAAGAGGTGGATTGCGGGGAAGATGGGTCATTGGAGCGAGTTCCAGGCATGGGAGTTGGGACACGGTGTATTCCGTGGCGAGGTTCTGAGTCCGAGGATCCGTTGTGATTGGAGGATATGGTAACGTGGGGATTGGCATATGAGGAGGGTGGAGGTACTGGGATTGGGTCGGCGTTTGATTCAGGAGGGGATTGCGACGTGGATGCGCTTCGTTCTGGATCCAATTGATATCCGAGTTCTCCGGCCCTTCGTTGTAACCATTCGAGGTCAGGCCCCATGATGCGAAAGAGGTAGGGTCGATTGGTAACGAGGTTGAGTAAGAGTCGAAGAATGGCATTCTCTCTGGCGTTGATGTCGGATAGTACGTGCTGGGTTTCGCCATTGTGACGTATCCTGGGATTGGGGATGGATGTGTTGTCGTTAGTGCCGATGATCCCGAAGTGGGCGTTCGTCTTCTTCGGCAAGCGTGGGTGAGCTAGGCTGGGATTCGACGTAGGGAACGAGACTGTTTCTAGGGAGGGTGACGTTGACCGTAGTCGTTTCGGGCGGATGTTGCGTGTCTTGGGCATTTGCCATGTGGTGAGTTGGTTTGAATATCAGTTTGGAGGATGTGAAGAGGCTGAGGAGGCGTTGAGTTTTCGATTTAGGGCAAATTTACCCCCCTTCTTATACTCAACGCTGACGTGGCCTTGTGCGTCGACGTGTACTTGGTTGGCTGTGTCTTGAAGGAGCCTGCGGATTCTGCGCATAGAAATCAAGGACGACTTGGTCGTCCTCGTGGAATTCGTGATGTGGCCGCCACTCGTTATCCGAGTCAGGATATCCTGTGTAGTGTACCAGATAGTGCAGTCCTGGTTTGCTGCGGCCTCCGGGTGATCTCCATTCCGCATCAAGAATTTCATCAACTTCGAACTGTTCTTCGTTGTTGATGATGTCTGGTGGTGGATACGTGGCGGCTGGGCCATGTTCCTTGGTCTGGACATATGGCGTGAGGAGTCCTGCATGGAACACGGGATGTATCTTCCACGTCGGTGGGAGTTTGAGCTTGAAGGTGATTGGTCCGAGCACGTCGTCTATGCGGAAAGGTCCGAATCGCTTTGGTCTAAGTTTGGCAGAAGGATGAGTCGTCGTGATATTCTTCCCTTCCAGCCAAACCTTGTCCCCTTTCTTGAATAGGGGTGGTTGTCCTTCGATTCGTTGTTTCATGATGTCGGCTGCGATCTGATGTGAACTTTCCGCATCTGCACGGGCTTTCCGTAGTTCCGTAAGGCGATGTTTGATGGATGGGACTGTGGTTTGTTCGTTCATTTCTGGGAACCAGCGTGGTTGGTATCCCATGAGAAGATAGAACGGCGATTCCTTGGTGGATGAGTGTTGTGCCGAGTTGTGAGCGAATTCGGCGAATAAGAGATGCTTGGCCCAATTGTTCTGTCTGTAGTTGCAGAATGCTCGTAAGAATTGTTCCAGTTCTTGATTGACTCGTTCTGTTCCTCCATCTGTCTGTGGGTGATATGCCGTGGAGAATCGTTGATCAATATGTAACTTCCGATATAATTCTTTGAGGAATGCCGAGTTGTACTGTGTCCCGCGGTCAGATATCGCTATCTGGGGAAGCCCGAATCTCCGGAAGACGTGTTGAAAATAAATGTCCGCAGTTTGTTCGGCTGTGATTGTGCTGTTGCATGGGACCATGACTGCGGCTTTACTTGAGTCATGGTCCCAGAAGACTGCGATTGCGTCGTATCCGTCGGATTTGGGTAGTTCCGTGATAAAGTCCATAGTGACTGTCTGGAATGGCAGTGTCGAGGTGGCTGGTATTGGCATGATGGGGATTGGGTCACGATGGGTCTGGTTCTTGGTCGCCTGACATGTAGTGCATCCCTTGACGTAGTTGCGGATGAATCGCGTCATGCCTGGCCACCAAAATTCCCGTCCTATAGCGATTATGGTGGCAAACTGTCCGCGGTGTCCGGTCGTGGGTAGATCATGGTGGAGTCGAACGACCTCCTGCCGTAGTTCTAGATCATTTGGGATGTAAAGGCGCTTCTTGTGGTACAAGAAGCCGTCCTTTTCTTCCCAATCAGCTAAGTTCTTGTGAAGGGTAGTGTTACCCGACTTGAGCATTGATAACGATTCTGCCAATTCTGGTTCATAGGCGGTACTCTGTCGAATTCGTTCTCGTAAGTCATGTTCCGTTGTCGTTGTCCTGACGAAGACTTCATCCGGTAATAGGATCTTGTCTTCGTTATCATGGGATCCATCGTCGTGGTCTCGTCTTCGGGATAATGCGTCAGATTTGACTTGAGTTGCGCCGGCTTTGTGGGTTATCTGGAAGTCGTAGTCCTGTAGCTCCGCGCTCCACCGGGCTTGTCTTCGGTTGAGCTTTCGGGCCGTCCTAAAGTATTCCAGATTACGATGGTCCGACCACACATCGATCTTGTGTGGACTGCCGGCTAGATAATGTCTCCATGTTCCGAAGGTCTTCATGATGGCTAGAAGTTCTCTGTCGTGTACGTCGTAGTTTCGTTCAGCTTCCGTCATAGATGATGACAGGTAAGCGCAGGGATGCCAGTGTCCGTCTTGCTCCTGAGATAATATTCCTCCAATAGCGAATCCTGATGCGTCGCATTCTACTCGGAACGGTTTCCGAGGATCTGGTTGGATGATGACCGGTGCGGTGGTAAAGGCCTTCTTGAGTTCGTCGAAAGAGGCTTGTTCCTTGTCTGTCCATTGCCATGGATGATCCTTCTTGGTAAGGTCATTAAGGGCTCTAGCCTTTCCTGAAAAGTCGTGTATGAACCGTCGATAAAAATTGCCAAAGCCCAGGAAGGCTCTGACATCCGTAAGGTTCTTCGGGGTTGGCCAGTTAAGGACTCCGTCAAGTTTGACCGGATCCATAGAAATCTTCCCGTGTTCTAGGATCATACCGAGATATTCGACTTCCTTGGCTTCAAAGGTACATTTCTCCGGTTTGAGGAAAAGGTCGTGGTCTTGTAACCGTTTGAGGATCTCTGTGACAATGGTTCGGTGTTCTTCCAGGGTTTCTGTTCCAACTAGGATATCATCCATGTAAATAACGACTTT